TAGCATCTGGAGAGCAGCTAGCCAAAGGATGAGGCTGGCTAGTTTCTTAGCGTTTGTCAAAAATATACAAATGATATTTAGATGTGTGCAACTCTGATGAAAAGATTAAACAAGTAAAATCTTTAGCCGCACTGAATGGATTAGTAAGTTTTGTTAATCCTTTGGCCAACAAAAAAAGTTTAACAAAAGATTTAATATTGAAAGAGAAAGAAAAAGAAGCAGAGGATAATGGTAGACTCTTGAGTTCCTCAGCCCCAGTGAAAGTTGGGTGGTAGTGCTTTCTGCTTCCCGACAGCTTAGCACACAGAGTTACAGAATCAATTCATCAGAGGCAGAGATTCCAAACTGTTCACGTTCAGATTCGAGGGTCAAAGACTTAACCGGTAATTAGTCAAAATGTAATACACATTAAATAAACTCCAACTGAAGTAGAGAAGTACGAGACAGGGGATTAAAGGCTGTCAAGAAAGACAAGAAGAGATCTGATTGTTTTTGACTAATTCCCGGAGACTATGAAGTCTTTCATTTCACTAGAGCTTTAATGGCATTACTTGCTAATTCAAGCAATTCCCGAAGTGACTTTTAAATTTTTAAAGACTTCTTCAGTTTTTCTTTGTTTTATAACTTGCTGGGTCTCTTACTGGATGTATTCTGTGACAGACTGGTAAATATATCATACTGACTTTTCTCTATGCGTCTTACAATTTTTTTTAAGGAGTGGAACTCTGGGGATAACAGGCAGCAACTTTGCCATTATGTGGCCAATTTGGAGAACAACCTCTTGGTGCCATTTCTAATTTCTGGAAAAGTCTTTAGGGTCCATTAACTTGTTCGTGTCAAGAACCCTCGGTGCAATGAGAACCTGAACCCTTGAGGGCCTGGAGGTGGAGTCAGTGGTAGAGAGACTGCACAGCACAGCCTGGTGTGCGGCCCCAGGTCCCCACACACAGAAAGGAAGGCAGGGAAGGAGGGAGGAGGGGGAACAGCAAAAGGCTGAGTGTGCTCTGAACTCTCCCCAGGGGAAAACTGACCGGCTTTTCATAGGGAAGTTGCATCAAGTTTTCCCGGACACCTAGAAACCCGATTTTACGACCTTCTTCAAAGCCCCTGACTGTTCTGAATTTGAGAAGTCACAGCTCCACTGATGATAAACGTTGCAACTTTTGATATCCTCTCTTGCTCTGTTTCACCAAACCAACTTCTCCAGAGCTCTGAGTGTAAGAAACCTGGTTTTACAAGTTCATCATTTTTTTAAGTACAGTCCTGAAAGTTTAAAAGTCCCCAAAAGAGGAAGCAATGGAGATGCTCTCCCCAGCCACAGCCCCTCAGCCAGGTCCGGGCTGTGTGTGGATCTCACGGTGCCCTCGCCTCCTACAGAGTGGCCTGGAGTGCGGCCCTTCACGCTCAGCCTTACCTGCCTGGGAGGACAGAAGCAAGCGATACTGAGAGCCAAGTGTAGGTCAGCGTTGGAGAGAAGCAGTGGTGGACGGGGCAGGGGCTTGGCAGCAAACAAAGCTCATTTTAAATCTTCCTCCAAAGACGACGGTGGCCTGGCTTGTCCTGTCTCAATTTTCTCATCTGGGAAAGCAAGAAAAATATCCAAAGGGGCAAAGTATCATTTTCAGGATAAAATAAAGTTTCAAAGTTGAGGGGCTGGCATTGCTAGGTCTCAGTGGAAGCCCGCGCCTTTCCTCTGCGCTTGGCAGCATCCGCTCCACCCTCCTGTCCGCGGTTCCCCATCCCTGTGTTCACCCAACGCCTGTGGGTGGAAAAATTCTTTAAAAAATGCAACTTTACTGAACATCCACACTTTTTTCCTTGTCCTCATTTCTTAAACAATTATTTACTTAGCATCTGTGTTAAGTGTCCTAAGTCATCTGGAAATTATAAGTAATCTAACGCCATTAGACTACAGGGCAGAGCTGGGCACGTGGATGCACACTTCCCCTCCCAGCCCTGTGGGAGGCTGAGGCAGGAGGACAGCAAGTTCCAGCCCAGTATGGGAACCTTAGCAATTTAGCCAGACTCTGTCTCAAATTTAAAAACCAAAGCCGAAACCAAAAAAGGGCTGGAGATGTAGCTCAGCGTGAAGGCCTCGGGTACAATGCCCAGCATAGGAAAATAAAAATATGTGGAGAATGAGCGTAGGTTCTATGTAAATATGATGCTATGTCCTTTAAGGGACTTGTGTGTTCTGGATTTTGGTGGATGGTGGGGACCCAGGAATCAATGCTCTGGATACATGGGGAGATTATAATTTACAGTGTTTCTCCAGTGCGCTCTCTCTCTCTCTGCTAAAATGCTCCGCGCGGTCGGCCACGTGGGCGCAGCACGGCTCAGCCCGGGCTGCCCCTTCCTGCTCCTCGCTGCTCTCCAGCCCCTGGCTCCTCACCAGCGTCGGTAGCAAGGGCAGCTCTGCGCCTTGGGCAGCCGGCATCGTTCAGCGGCAGCGTCCGCTGATCGCTGGCCCTGGGTGCGAGACATGGCCGGCGTGGGTCCCCGCCAGCCTGCCGCTGCGCTCATTTCCCCAGGGTTGTACTCATTTGTACGATTTTAACTGGTTCGCCCGCTTTTCGCGTTTTCTTCTGAAATGGCCTGGAGGACTCCCCCGGCCTTGGGCGGGGCGGAGCTCGCCTGGCTGTGCCTGCACCCTCAGGGGCCAAGCCGACCGGCCGCTCCCTGCTCCCTGACGCCTGGCTCAGGCGCCCACAGTCAGGGAGGCGGCCGATCTCGGCTCCGGAGCCCGAGGCTGCGGCCCCTGATGATGGCCCTGCCGCTTCTGGCCTGTGGCGGCCACACAGCGGGGGCACTGGGGGGCACCGAGCCACTCACCTCGTTCTGGAAGCAAGAAGAGGCCAAGAGGGACCCTGGGGTCCCCACAAAGCCCCACCTGTGCGCCTTTGTTCCACAGCACTGGGGATTGAAACCAAGGGCTCACACTGAGCTCTGTCCCTGGCCCATTTTGATTCTTTACTCTGAGGCAGGGCCTCCCTAAGGCTTTAAGCTGTTTAGGCTGGGCTCCGACTTGCGGTCCTCCTGCCTCAGCCTCCTGGATTGCAGAGAGAACAGGGGCGTGCTGCCCCCAACCTCAGGCCTCATCTCTTAGAGGGTCCACCACCTCCCAATAGACAAGGTGGCCCGCAGGACACAAAAGACAAGAGCTGGCTCTCAGGAGCCCTCCCTCTCCCTTCCCAAGACCCCGGTGACCTTCTCCGGAGGATTTTCGATACCTTCCGATCCTTCTTGGCCCCAGCTCCTTTCTTCCTGGCTGCTCACATTCCCAGGCCTCCTGCACCCAAAGAAACCCTGTAAACCATCTCTCTTCCCAAGGCACTGTGCGATGCCTCTCCTCCCTCAGGAGTGATGCCTTCTGTCCCAAATCTCACTCTTTCTGTCATTGTTATGCAGCGTTATTGGGACACCGTGATGCCTCGGTTCACGAACTGAATTTTCTCCACGACTCTGCTTGCAGACTGAACTGGACCAGACCCGAATCCAATTTCCCTGTAAGGTCAACACTGAACCTAACCAATGGATTTGATTGGGTCTCATCCAATTCGGTTTACGAGCAGAACCATGGACAGAATGGAGCTCACGAACTGAGGTCCCTCTGCACAAGTGACAGGATACACGGTTTGCCCGCTGAGCATGGAATGTACTGGTGTTTGGTACAGTCACAGGCACCCCTTAAAAGAGTGTTTTCATCCCCTTAGGATACAACCTCCGTCCCCCTTAGGTACACTCCCGCACTCCCATTCCCCCTCCACAGCCCCGAGGAAACTTTCTGTGTCTCCATTTCAGTCTAGATTTCCGAATTCTGTAAATTAAGTAGGAAAAAACCCAGTTCCTTCTTCTGGACACTCATGTGTGTCTTCTGAGTGGCTCTCATTCGGCGTCATGGTCTGAGGCCCACCACGCTGCCGACTGTCAGTGCTTCTTCAGGCCAGGTTCAGCCGTCCCCAGAGGCCCCGTGCTGGAGGCTTGGACCCTGGCTTGATGCTGTTGGGAGGCGGTGGAATCTTTGAGCAGTGGGGGTTCCTAGGTCCCTGGTGGCCCTTGAGCAGGCTGCGAACTTCGCTTGCTCCCTTCTGTCCAGCGCACCCGGCCGTAAGGGCAGTGGCTCTCCCACCCCGTGCTCCCATCCCCCTGAGCTGTGTTCACTCAGGGCCAGAGTGAGGACCAGCTAGTCAGGGCCAGAGCCTCCAGGGTTGTGAGCAGAACAAACCTTTCCTCTTCTTCAGCTGGTCACCGTGGTATTTTGTTAGAGTAGTGGAAAGGTGACAGACAGCAGAATATGTCACCATATCGTTCCTCAGTTGTTTCTGCCTTGGGCTGTTATGAATGCTGCTCTTATAAATATTCATCCATGAATTTTTGTATGGGTGCACGTTTCCGTTTCTCCTGGGTTTATACCTACGAATGAACTTCTGAGATCACGTGGTAATTCTATATGTGCCCTCCTGGGAAAAGCCAGAGCATTTCCAGTGTGGTTATGCCATTTCACCTTCACATCAGCAGGGTATTCAGGCTCCAGTGTCTCTAGGTCCTCACTCACATTTGTTATTATTTGACTTTTTGATTCTAATAATATTCACGTGGTATCTCATGATTTTAATTTGCAAACAAGACCTCAACTGAGACTAGATCACCACACTGGCATAGCATAAGCAGTGCAGTGTTGCTCAGTCATGAGAAAGGGATGAGCCTGCACTGTGACATGGACGAAACTTGAAACGTTAACAGAAAGAAGACATCCATGGAAGAGAACAGTGATACCTCCTATGCGCAGGAGACACGCTCTACGTCCCCGGGGTGCCTGAAACCACGGTGTGCTGAACCTTCCAAATACTACATTCTTCCCTGTATATACAAACTGACATATGCTACGTGACACCTCTGGTACAGTACGGGATTAGCAACGGTAACCAATAATAAAACAGGCCGGTTGTGCCAACAGTCAGCCTTCAGCGTCTCCGGGGATTGGTTCGGGTATCTGAGCTCCGTGCGCGCCGCAGCCCCTCGCAGGCCGTGGCGGTTTGTGGGTGGGCTGTGCAGTCCTGGCGCTCTGAACGACCCGGATGGCCCGCGCAGGCTGGCGCAGTGCCAGTGCGGTGGGTGTGGAGCCAAGGGAAGGTCTGTCCTGTCCGCCCGGAGGCTTTCCTTCCCTTTCCGCTTCCCTTTGGCCCCCGGGTGGCTGAGCGGGTGGATGTGGAGGCCGGGCTGCACTGGCGCAGAGACATGAACGCGTGAGCCTCGGTTCTGGGGACTCTTCTCACTCTTGGTTCCCGACAGGCATTGCCTCCTACTGCGGGAGGCCCGGGAGTCAATTCTGCCGCCCACCTCGCGAAGACCGAGCCCTAAACTGCAAGTCGGTTCCCAGGGAAGCAGAGGTAGGGGCCCAGGACATGTGCTCCCGGCTGTTTCACCCCGAAGCTTCCACTGGGGCGGGTGTGGGTGGCCTTAGCGAAGCGCTCCAAGTCCCCATCGCTAACTCGGTGGGCTTCGCACCCGAGCAGCAGCCACAGGGCTTCCGGTCTGGCCTGATGTTGCAGGAAACTAAGTCATGCTGAGTCCTTCTGGGCTCCAGCTCTTATATCTCATCTTACTTCCTTTTCAGAAAAAGAACTATAGAGGCAGGAGTCAAAACCCCTGCTCTACTTTAGGGCTGAGGATGTAGCTCAGGGGTAGAGTCCACACAGGCGGCTCCAGGTTTGATCCCAGCACTGCAAAACAAAACAAAACAAAGCCACATATTTCACGTGTACGTTAGACTGGATTGGTCTACACCTTGCTGCTGAGACAAACTTAGATTTCTTGAGACCATGTAAGTGTCTTCAGCGCTGGACCACAAAAGCACTGACGTAGAGGGATGAGACAGAGTGGAACTTCTGGGCCGGGCCTCTGATCATCCAGTGATTCGCAGGGGCCATGGCGTTGCCTTGCCTTTTAGATCTGTGTGCCAGAGAACTCTGCTCTTTTGTACATCTGCCTGAGGGCCTGGGTGTGGGGCACCCGAAAGCCCATGGGCATGTATAGGCTTCTGAACACCGTGTCTGTTCTCACAAGACGAGCTTTAGAGACATTTTATGAAAGCAGGCACAGCAGTTTCATAGGTAAAATATACAAAGACTCAAATAACTCTGTGTCCTTGCAATTGGTCCCATAAACTTCCACGAAGCTCTGTTTTGGTTTTACAGTGTTTTCATCAATCACTGCTGGAAATAAGTCTGAAAATTTCAGGCAAGTTTGTGCTTTGTCTTAGAGACAGGAAATACATTAAACTCATCATTTACCTGCCCTCTCAGTACTCCCATGAATCTTGTTCACAGCCTTCTAAAAAATAACAATAAAAAACCCCAAATCCCACCAAAGCAGCACTGGATGTGTTGACTCACCTCACCCCATGAGCACGAATCACAGTAGGACCCTTCCCTCCAGGCTTCTACTCTCTGCAGGTGCATATTAACATGGTCTGATAATATTAAGGGAAAAATTACAGAAGTAAACAACTTATAAGTTTTAAACAACTTTAATGGAGCCTGTTTTTATAATTATCCTATTTTATCATTAACTATTATTAACCCCACTGTCTCACTTGTAAATTAAACTTCATCATAGTTATGTGTGTAAAGAACAAAGAAGAACATACAGAGTTTGATACTATCTGTGGTTTTAGGCATGCACTAGGGTCTTGGAATATTTCCCCTGCAGATAAGGGGCCTGCTGGATTTTCCTGAAATTCCTTTCGATAGCATATCTGTGCTATTTCAATCTGAAAACAACAAGCCCTTCTCCTGTGAGCACCACGTGAGTCCATGATGTGTGTGGAGTCATCTAGACCAAAGCTGACCAAAGCTGCCAGGTGGCCTTGGCAGTCAGGGACTTCTTCTCCTGGGTCCCCCCACTTGTCCCCAGGAAGGTCCGAAGAGACAAAGCCCCAAGCTGCACCTTCAAGCCTGCCACCGGCCTCAGGTTGTTTGCTCTCTGCTTATCTGTTGACAAAGAAATCTGTAGGGTTTCTGAACATCAAACCTTTCTTAATCTAGTCCCAATCTATTAACAGTTTTATCAGAAAAGAAATTCCAAAATAAGTCTTTAAAAAAAACCCTTTATAAAAAGACAAACATACACCACTGAGCTTGGAGAGAGGGAAGGTTAGGTTGGCATTCGGGTGCAATCCCCAGGTAATCACTGCAGGATGGAGGACGACCCCACCTGGAGAGCAGGAGCTATGTCAATGGGACCCAGAATTGCTTCAGAATCTCTTCTGTAGCTATTCAGATTTCTTACTGCACTGAAATTTGCTTGTGCAAAAATCATTCAAAACAACTAAGCAACTGGAGGTTGAGATCCTTTTGTCCAATGCAGACATCGATCCATTTCCTTGTGGGGAGCTGATTTGCAGGGTCCGTGTTCACAGTAGGGAAAAGACTTGGAAAAGACCACCGTGATTTGCACATCATTCTGGTGTTCAGGAATCACTTGGAGCTTTGAAAACACACAAATGACTTCTGAGATCCAATGAGCAACATCACAACCCTCTGAGGTGATCTCTACCCTGTTTCCAAAAGATCAGAAAGAAGAGGTCTTGTCTTCAGGAATGATTTCCAGTCACGCTGGTAGACCAACAGCGCTGTGTGAGCATCTGAGAGTCAGAAGGGTGGCATGGACCAGCTCCCACTCAGTGGGAGTCTTTTGATGTTCACCCGAACCCCACAACCATGCCTGGGAATGCACTGAACTCCACAGTAAAACCCAAACAGGCAGTGGGTGTGTCTAGAGGCTAGAGCACTGGCCAGGAACCTAGAGCAAGCTGTTTGCCTCAACAGTCCGTGAGTTACAGAACAAGCCTGCTCTGCCCTCGCCCCTGTGAAGGAGAACAGCAGACGCCGCCTTTGCAACTGTGGCTGCTAACCTCAATCTTGCAAAACAGAATGGGTTCTTTCCATGTTGATGTTAATTAAAGTTCAACTCCTGAGAATTACATGAAACAATGGTTCCATAGGCCACAAACTATCATTACTTCCAAGTTTATAGCAAATTTTGCTTCCCATAATCCACATTAGTGAATTCTCTAAAATATGAGAAAATGTGGTCACCATCTGCCCTTTGTTCCAGGCATGTTTCCCAGCTACGGAAGTAAGTACATGCTCTGAGTCCAAAAAAAAAAAAAATGATGCCCAGGATATGAACCAAATGGACAGTTTTATTTTTTTCTGAATACCTTAAGATCATGAAAACGTATGCTGCTGCATGTATGCTATTATAACTGATTTGCATATTCTTTGGAGTTGTGGATGTGACAAATATATAAAAGATGACCAGGAAAAGCAAGATTTTTTCTAAGACAAACAAACAAACAAACAAACTAACAAAAAGACATTCTGTGAACGTCTACCACATCCAGTATAAGATGTTCCATGCTGTAAATTAACATTATTGAAGAAAAGGGAGCCCTCGATCTTGGCATCTTGTATACCAAGTTAGGAATACACAGAGGGGAGAACAAAGATGAGGAAAGAGGAGCTAAGATGGAACAAAGTAGGGAGACTGGAAGCACAGCCATCTCTCTGGGCTGGGACGCTGTCACTCAACTCCACAACATTTGTGACCCTTTCCCACAGCTTCCGGATACCCCACTAACTCATGCCCACTCCTCACCTTAAGCTGGTTTTTAAAAGACAAGATTTTCTTTAAAACAAATCTTCATGGTGAAAGGGGAAACCAGGAAATCAGAAGTTCTATGAGATTTGTATTTATTGTTTTCGAGCATCCTGTCTCAGGGACTTTAACTGCTACCTGGTAAGACTAATCTGCAGAGCACCTCGGATTCTTCAAGTGAAAAACAGTATTTTTTAAAAGAAATGCGTAATCGTCAATAACAATTGGCCCTATGTATTTGCAGTTTCCCCAACTGTAGCTTCAACCAAATGCAATTGCAAGGAGGAAAAAGATTTGCATCTGTGCTGAACACACATGTTTTTTTCTTGTTATCATTCCCTAAGCAATGTAGTACAACAACTATTTGCATAGCATTACACTGTACTTGGTATTATAAGGAATCTAGGGATGGTTTTTATTTTTAACATTTCATTTTGAATCTGCTTCAGACTTAACAGAAATTCCAAATATAAGAAGAAGCATTCCTGCCTCCCTTTCATCCAGCCCTCCAAATATTAACACTTATAAACACAGCAGAAGGATCAAAGACACCAAATTAGCCATGATAATGCCATGAAGTAATCTGTACACTTTATTCAAAAATTTCCAACTTTCCCCCAGTTGCCCTGTGTCTGGGACATATCTAGGGTCATTTTGCTGGCTTTAGGTATCCTGTCTTCTCAGGCTTCTGCAGCCTCAGACAGCTCTTTGGTCTCTGTCTTTCATGATGTGGATGCTTATGACGTGAGGTCTGGAATGTCCTTCAGTTTGGGTTTCTCTGATGTTTTGTGAGTGTTGTCAGAAGACGTTGTGGTTCTAAGAAATACAGTTCCCCCACAGGTCATGATGTTGGGCTATCTGGGACAGATTCTGGTGCCCTCAGGACGTGGTTGGACTGAAATCCGTGGCCAGCAGGCTTTTGTAAGGGGTTGAAGAACCTGCAGGCAAGATGATATATCATGGATCTCCTGTCCCACCACATGGGTCCACATTTTCCTTCCCCTCTCTCTGTGTATAGACATCCTCCAACCTCTTCATAGATGGGCCTTGCTTGTCTCTTTTAGCCACCATCCCTACATGTCTCCTTTCTTTCAAGGTCAAGATGAATGAATGAATGAATCCATCAATCAATCAAGAAGATATTCATAGCCTTCACCTTCCATTCATTTCTTGAGCTATTGCCACCATGCCTCCTCCACCCGGCTCCTCTTCAGTTGTCCAATCAAAAGCTGCCATGATCCATATACAGTCATGTCTATAATAGGATGAGATCCAAGAAGTGTGCCACTAGGCTACTCTCTGATGTGCAAACATCAAGCATGTACTTACACAGTCTTGGATGGTCTAGGGCAATCTCTTGGTACAACCTCTTGATGTATGAAGGTACTGCCTGGGTAAGACAGCATGCTGTTTACAGTAAACATTTTTAATAAGTAGGAGTACCCTAAAAATAATGATAATATAATAAATGTATTACTCAGTAACCACATCATTAAGTATTATATATTGTGCATAATTTTATTGCTATCCTTTTCTATGATTGGCATCACAGTAGATATGTTTACACTAACATTGTCCTGAACACATGAGGAATGGGTTACACTTCCATGTCACAATGGCTATGACATCCATTAGTCCACTACCCTCAATCTCAGTCCTCACACAAAGTCTCAGGACATGAGAAAAATACAGACTTTTTGCCAGAGTGTAACATGGACAGCCTCTAGTCTTTTCCCAACAGAGTCCTCATTCCCAGCTGAAACATGATGAGCCTGGCCTTTATTATCCACATTTCTATCAGCATTCTGGTCTTCTGGGCTCTGACCAGAATCACCCATCAGGCTCTAATTACAGCATTCTAGGGCTTCTCCAACCCACTTCTCCAAACTTTTCCAAACTCCTTATACAAACCAATTCCAAAATCTTCTAACCCATGTGGTTAGGTGTAGTCACAGCAGCGATCTCACTTCTCCAGCACCAATTTTCTGTATTAGTCAGCTTTTCCATTACTGAGACACAATATCTGGCACCCATAGCCTAAAGAAGGAGAGGATGAATTCAGCTTGCATTTTGAGAGGATGTGTTCCATGGTCAGCTGGCCCCAGAGCAAAAAAATCATGGTGGAAAGGTGTGGCAGAGCAAGATCCTTAGCTCATGGCAACTGGGAAGCAGAGCTGAGGGACAGAAGCAAAGAAGGAAAGAGAGACCGGATGTAATATCCAAGGTCATGCCTCCCAACCCATCTAGACCTATGCTTTACCAGTCTCCCAGGCGGCTCCCAAACCAATCAAGTTGATACAGTCACGCTTAATCACTAGACAGGTTAATGTCCAGAATATATAAGGAATATATAAGGAATTCAACTCAGTGACAAACAATGAACAATCTGATTTAAAATGGGCAAAACTTGAATAGATATTTCTTTTAAAAAAAGACCTAAAAATAACAAACAGGTATGTGAAAAAAGGCTTCACATCATTAATCATCAAGGAAATATAAATCAAAATGTGATATCACCTCATCCTGGTTTGAATGTCTAATATCAAAAGGACAAAAAATAACAAATAACAAGTAACAAATAACAAATGCTGGTGCATATGTGAGGAATGGGGAACACTTACACATTGGAGGGAATGTAAATTAGTATAGCCATTATTAGTTTCCACAGATACCTGAAAATCAAACTACCTATGGTCTAGTAGTCCCACCACAGTGTATTCATTCAAAAGAAATAAAATCAGTGTGCCAAAGAAGTCTGACTCTTGTGTTTATTTCAATACTATTCATGGTAGCCAAGCTATGTACTCAGAGTATCCATCCTTGGATGAATGGATTTTTTAAAAATTATAATATACATACATCATTGAAGAGTATTCAGTCATATAAAGTGAAATTTTGTCATCTGCAGCACCATAGATGGAATTAGAGGACACAGGCTAAGTGAACCAAGCCAGGCACAGAAAGACAGTTACTGCATGTTCTCTCTCAGATGTGAAATCTGAAGAAGTTGGTATCTAAAAGTAGAGCAGAGAATAATGGTTACCAGGGTACAGTGGGAGTGAGGGAAAATTGGTCAATGGGTTACAAATTCCTTCTTTCCTTTATTAAAAATGCAACAGATCCACTAAAGGGAACCAGAGCTTTTCAGAGAATCGGTGGACTCCAGGGAATGAGTGGAAAAGCACAAGATGAGCCACAAAGTAGGGAAGTGCTCAAAAAATCATGAGCCCTGCCAAAAGGGACACAGGGCCCAACTGTAAGGGCTCCCACCGGCCAAATGTGAGACAAGTTGAGCCCAAATTAACAATGATAGTAGTGGGTTATAACTTAATGAAAAAACCCACCATGGTGGCAGAAAAGAAACATTAATAAAGGAGTGGAGTCAAAGGGAAAGCTCTTCCTTGTAATGAGATGCCAACTCATATGTGAAAAAGGAATAATGGAATTTAGAAATTACTACTCTGTGATCATCAGAAGTAATCATTAGTTGAGGTAGGAATTATTCCAGTCTCTTGGTATCTGTCCCTAGGTTATTTCCTGATCTAAGGTTGGTGTGAGTTGGAGATGACACCACTTTGACCAGGTGGCCACACCTGAACCAGGAGACAAACTACAGAACAAAGATCTTGAGCACTCGGGAAGCATTAGTTTCATATAAAATAATGGAAATCTGAGATTATTCCACATTAAGGAAGCTTAAGGACCATGCCTTGTAAGTTCAGTGGTAACTCTAGATGGGGTTTGGGACTTGGGAAAGAAAGTTGCTTTTAGGGCAATTTTAGGGTAGCAAGAAAAAAGTAAATATTCACTGTAAAGTCATTCCTTGGAACCAAAGCAATTTGGTTCCAGGACATCGCTTCCTCCACAGAGCCCCAAAGCCAATATTTGCTTACAGAAAATGGCATAGCATTTCACATAATGTACACACATCCTCCCATTTATGTTAACATCTCTAGATTACTTATAATCCCTAATCCAATGCAAATGTGAAGAGTTGTACTGTATTGCTTAGAATAACATGACAAGAAAAATCTACACATTTTCAGTATAGATGCTGTTTATTTTCCAAATGTTTTTGGCTCGAGGTTGGTTGAATCCATGGATGAGGCATTCAGATACAGAAAGTCGAACTTTTAACTGGTATTATATCAGGGTTAAATGTTTTACATTTTCTGTTTTAACATTTAGATCTTTGCTCCTGTTTGGTTTTAGTTTAGTGCCTGGTGAGTTGGGTACAGACTCAGTCTTTGGTGTGTGGATATCCAATGTTCCCTGCATTATTTATGAATGAGGCTTTCTTCCAGGATATGTTTTTGGCCCCTTTGTCAAAGATTAATATCTAAATGTGCCTCTATTCTGTGTCCTCTATTCTTTTCCATTGATCCACATGCCTATTTTTGTGCCAGGACCATGATGTTTTAATCACAGTAGCTTTTTAGTATAACTTCAAATCTGGGATTGTGTTGCCTCTTGCTTTGTTTTTGTTACCCAGGATTGTTTTTGCTATTCTGGGTCCCTTCTGGTTCCATATGAATTTTAGGATTTTTCTCTCTAGGTCCGTGAGAAGTGCTGTTGGCATTTTGATTGGAATTGTGTTGAATCTATGTATCAGTTTTGGAGGTATGGCCATTTTGATTATATAGGTTCCACCTATCCAGGAACAGGGAATATCTTCCCATTTTCTGATGTCTTCCTTTGTTTCCTTTTTCAATTATACTATTAACTTCTCTTAGGTCATTAAAGAGAAAGTGCTTTTATCTGTTTGTTTCTTCTTTGCAAGGGAGAGTCTTTTTTTGTCTAACACTTGTACTTTGAGTAACATTTTGGCCATTCTTTTAAAATTATGATACACAATGTATTAACTATTGTTACTTTTTAAGTATTTTGTTATGAAGTTTTGGTAGAAGTAAGAAGAGTGCTTTTAAAATATTTTCCATATGAATATCTACTTGTACTGTATTAAAATTAGCAAGAGATAGATAATGGGAAACAGGGAGCTGGGCCTTCTGCAAATGGGAACAGGACCAAGAGGTGGAGGAAGCAGGGGGTGGAGGGAAGAGGATGAGAAAAGGAATGAAGATGCGTTACATACACGCGTCAGCTCCACGCAAGGAGCGTAAACACGATATACTGCCAACACGCACCAATAAAAGCAGAAATTTTAAAAATTCTAAATTTAATATGGCACTGTGATTATGTGAAGGATTATTCTGGTTCTTAGAATACGCATACAAAATAATTACTGGTAAAGGGCTGTAATCTGAAACTTACCCCCAATAATTTTTTAAAAAGAAGAATCAAATGAGGGGACGGAGACGGAGATGGAGACAGTGATAGACCTAATATTTAAAGGTCGATGGTGAGAGGATGGGGAGAAGGGCGTACAGGCATTAATTTGTAATATTTTTACAACTTTTCTATCGGTTTCGGATGTTTTCAAAATAAAAATTTTCATGTAAAAATTACTTCCTGAGAGAAGCTGAAGGGTGAAATATTTCTAAAATTGTGACTCAACAGTAACATAATATCCTTTTTGCAAAAAACAAAACAAAATGAAACAAATTTGAATATGTGATCCAAAAACTAGATGTCATCTCTGCTTTTAGTACCCACATTTAACATTTCAAACATTTGGAACTAACTCAGAAGCGAATATACTTCTTCATCATGTTATTTTTTTACTTAGCATAATTTCTCAGAATTTAAAAATGTAATGATTTATAGTTTTGCTTTGTTTGATACAATATTCTCCCACTGATTATGTTCTTACTATGAAGCCCACTCCTTTGATGTTAAGGAAAATGGCATGTCGTTCTTGTAACTATTTATTTGTTATTTTGGAGAATGTACCCGGCACTGTGGTAGACAGCGGAGGAGGCACAGATGGAAGGATGGGGTGCCTGTCTGGCAGAGACCTTGAGGTAAGCACAGGTAGAAGATCAGATCTGATGGGAAGAGACAGGCAGACTTCATTTACCAGCGTATTTCTATTCATCCTCTCCAGGGTTTCCCTGCCCAGCTCCTGGGGATGGAACCCAGGCCTCCTGCACACGGGGCAACTTCTCTACCCCAGGCCACACCTCCAGGTCAGATGTTAAGCAAGTGTGTTCGCTCTCTTTCTCTTAAAAAATGAAAAGTAAATATGGTTTTAAATATAGATATAGATATATGTCTCCTATCTTTGCATCTGTTCAAAACACAAAACAAGAACAGAAGATCCAGCTCTTTGGTGTTAGAATTTTCTGTATTTTTCTATATTGTCCAAAAGAACGAAGAGGTTGCAACTTTCAAGCTAGCAGATCCTCATCTATTCCTGCACAGCACCGTCGTCTCAGTGGTTTCTTGGCCCAAACTCCATTTTCCTGTAGCTCTAGAGCTACACGGTCCTCCCAGAGGGGCCGTGTCTGTACTTGACAGGAGGGTGGCATTCATGGTTAACAGTTCGAAGGACATTAACAGTAAAAGGCTGCAGAGCTTCTTTAATGCCAGACTTGGGCACCTGTAAGAGAGTGACATAAAATGGTGCAGACTGCAGTGTTTCTCCCCTTCCCAGGCCGGCTCAGAGCTGCAGGGGCTCCCCAGGGAGCAGGGAGGGTATTCCAGGCACGAGAAGCCCCTTGGACCGTCTCCCAGCCCCGGGTCCCTCCTGCCTGATGCTCTGCGATCTTCCAGCCACCGCTGCGTGGCAGTCAGGGAAAGTCCCCAGCAGCCCCTCTGCAGCACAGCCCCGAGTGTTTGCTGGGAAGCCCCAGGGTGTGGCTGAGGTGCCCTCCAGTGTTTTCACAGGGCAGTCATGGGTTTTGAACTCACACCGTGAAAGAGTCTCAAAGCCAACCATGGTGGCCTGTTTGAAAATGGTAAGCAAAGACACCCTGAACTCGACCTCCCACAGTGGGACCCCAGCTCTGTGACCCCCTGTGCCTTCCGTGTCCCGGGGCCACTGGCTCTGAGGTGCACATTGTAAGGCCTGCTCTGGAAGTTGCCCCTGAGGGCTGGTGTCTGATATCCAAGAGCCCACTTTCTGCCATCTCTGCCCTGTGAACAACCTGTGTTCTGGTGTTTGAGCAAACGTGTCTTTCTGATGCAGTAAACATGCAGGGTGAAGTACACATGCTTCCAGGGACAGCCAGGGTCTCCAGGTCCACCTGTAAACCACGGCGACACAGCAGGAGATGACAGGTAAAGGATTCCTTCTTCAAATGGTTTGAACTGGGCAGCACGGAAAACAATCCAGAAAACTGTAGTGACCTGAAGACAGTGGAGTTCCACCTTGTTTTCCATGTTTACCCCAGAGCAATTGCTTTTTTTTCCAAAACTAAGCTTTTCTCTCAGTTCAACTCTTTTCCCAGAGTAATTGGCTCAGTTTCCCAAAGGACAGGAGTTGTCCGTGTGAAGGGTCTTCCCTCGTGTGTGTTCCTCATGGGCTTAGCAGGGCCACTCTGGGGACAGGCTTAGCTTTGTGCCAGCAGCAGAGATGGCACCAGCTGAGTCATCTGAATTCACAGTGCAGAGTCCAGTGCTGCAGCCCCTTGGCCCTTGGCTCCCTGGACGGAGAAGCCATGGACACGAAGCACTGCTGGCATCCATGACTGTCACTGTGCTGACTTTACACAGAGAGGAGACCGTGGACACAGCCTGGATCCACACAGCTCGAAAGACCATGCAGGGAGAATAAGGAATAGGATTTGTTTCTCTGATCTACAGACTGTGATTTCTGTATGTACAGATTCTACTCAGCTCGCGCGGAGTATTAGTTACTTACTAGTATTAGTTACTTTTCTCTCATTGCTGAGACAAAATCCTGGACACTCAAAGTTAGAGGGGGAAGATTAATTTGGCTTACAGTTTGTAGAGGTTTCAGTCTGTGATCGGCTGGCTGAAGGCGGGGTGGCAGAGGGGCCACAGTTCCTGGCGGCAGAAGACAGCAGAGGCAACCAGGGACCTTAAGGTCTTCCTGCCCCTTTTATCTCATTCAGATTACTCCGGGCGGGTTCACACCCTTACTCCTGCTGCCCTCGGGCCGGGCCCAGTTTGAATCAGTCACACGCTCTAGATTCAGCCACCTCTGAGAAAGCACGAGGCTTGGGGGCATCTAAACACACGCCACAGGGGAAGGCTTTACCTGAGCCAGGCAAACCATGTCCGTCTTAGTCATTTTTCTGGGCACCTCACTGTGACCCTCCCTGAAGCTGCTGCCTGCTGCTTTCCTTAGGGAGTCTCCACATTCCCTGCCTGGTCCTTCTTGGGCTGTCCCCTCCTTCCCTTCCTTCCCCTCTTTCTTTCTCCTTTAGAAACTTTAACTCCACCCATTCTGAGCACCCATTATGGGCTGGACATGAAAAATGCACTTCAGTTCAAGCTTATGAAATCATACTATATTTACGATTCTTTTCTTTTGATGTAGTTACCCATTAAGCCAAGGAGAGCTGTGGCCGACTCACAGCTCATCTTATAAAAACATTTCACTTGAAACTTTGTGTGTGCTTGAGATTATTTTCCTGGCTCTACAAGATAGATTTTGCATGAGCTGGAGCATTTATCATAAATATTCGCCTCTCATTGTTCCCACTCTCCATGTGCAGTACTAAGTCAAGGGCTGGGGGCTCCAGGGGAAATCGCTTTCAGGGTCCTCATCCCCTTAGACTTAGAAGATGTTTCTTCCTAGTATATTAACCTGCATGTTTTTAATATGGACCATCTGTTGAAGCCTATTAGCAAAACAAAAGCTCCCCAGGGGTTTGTTTGCATGCTGTTATTTAACACCATTTCCGGTTTTCCTGGCTATACTAAGGGTATCTGGGTACTTTTTGCTCAGGTGTGAAACCTCAGTAGGCTTCAATGACAGACTCACCTGGGATATGTTCCGAAGGTTTGTGATCCTAGATCCATTTCACAAGGCCAAGCTTTAGGGGTCTGCTTGGATCTCTCAGTTCCTGAAATAATTCTGAGAGAGGAGAGTAAATAATACAAACCTGAAACCTAACAAGGCTAAATGATTTGCGCAAGAACATACCAGAGCAATGTCAGCCAGAAATGAGCTGGTCCTTCCTGTGGTTTGAATGTCTATTTTCCCACCTGGAATTCCTATGTTGAAACCTTCCATGGTTTGGATAGGTCTTTCAAAAACCCCTGTAGTAAAGCTTTGATTCCCAGCTCAGGAAGTTCATGGGAGGGACAGAGCCTAGGGGGCGGAAGTGAGGTCATCAAGATGCACCTTTGAAGGGGATACCAGAACCTGGCCCTTTTGTGTCTCTTTGCTTCCCAGCAGTCATGAGGTGAGCAGCTCCCTCTGCCATGTGCTCCTGCCTTGATGCACTATTGTGCCACAGGCCCAAAAGCACTAGTGCTAACTGTCCATGGATGGAAATAGTCAAAGCTATGAGCCATAACAAACCTTTCTTCCTTTTAAATTGATTTTCTCTTGAATTCTGTTACAGTAATCCAGAGCTGAACACCAATGGGATGGTATTAGAAAGTGGCCTTTGGAAGGTGAGTAGGTCATCATGAATAGGATTAGGGCCCTTCTAAAAGAGACTCCAGGAGCTGGCTGGCTTCTTCTGCCACTCGTGGACACAGCAAGAAGAGAAAGCCCTCATCAGACAAGTCTGTCAGCATCTTGACCTTGGAGTTGCTAGCCTCTAGAACTATGAGCCAGAAGTTTGTGCTGTTTATAAACACTCTGTCTGAGGTATTTTATTACAGCATCATGGGTGGACTAAGACAATCTCCTTTCCATTATAAGGTATGGCCCCATGGTCTTGAGGTCACAGAAAACTGAGACCAGAGTATCTTCTTCAACCTTCCTCTCACCAGCATCATCAATCAGGATGTGAATGGCCCAGAACTTCATATAGGCACAGCTCACAAAACTAGCTTTCCGGATTGGGAATAGATTCTGGGACTGCGACACTCAGTTTGGAATATTGAGCTGCTTTCCTCGTGTTCATCTGAGGTTCTTCATGAACAACTAAAGGAGGAATGAAAGGTCAATCAATCAGTCCAACCTCAGCAAGCTGGGTCCTCCCACCTGAAGATCTATAACTGTGCCATTGAAAGATGGGTTTGGGTGACTGTTAATGTGTGCAGAACCACGGGGAATCTTAATTGTTTATTTGATTAGATTTTTACGTTCAGCTCCACATCAGCAAATGCAGGCTCTCATACACTTAATTACAGCTCACCACAGAAACCTGCCTCTGAAGCTGCTGATACAGAAATTAATCTAAAGACAGAAGACAGAGCATAAATAAAGAAAATAAACAGACCCATGGTTTTCACATTGGTTTTCTCCTTGCTTGTTTACTTGTTGTTTATGGCAACCCTATAAAATCTTCTAATCACGCTTCCTCTCAAAGGGATATGAAGAAAAACAAGCATTACAGTGGTCACATTTTCAGATTTCCTTGAATAGAGGTCCTAGATGTTCTCACAGGTAGTGCGAAACTTCCGTTTTCTCCTCTGCAAAATTATTAGAGAAAAACACTATTTGGGAGTTATTACATCTTCAAGTATCTGCGTTTATTCAGTTACCACTTGTTCACTCACTTATTTGTTTGATAGCAATGCACATGTCAGGCAGCAGGCTGGTGCTGACGGGAAGACTGAGTCTAGTTGCCCAGTGGTTTAGAATTGATTAGGTCCTGTGAGACAGTGCACAGGCTGTAACAGAGCAGATTAAGTTGATGCTACAGGGGTGACTGAAAGATATAGTATAAGTTTAAATCTTTAAAAACTCATTACAGTAAAAGACATATCGTGACAAACTGGTATGACTGTTCAAAATGAAGGGGAGTAATTTGAGCGGCATTAATGGCAATGTGTTTTATAATAATAAATTATTCTATTTAAACATTTACTATTTGTTGTTGTGCTTACTACTCATTGATCAAACCAGTACAGCAGTTTCTGTCCATTAAAAGCATTACAGCATGCCGTCATCTGCTTTATTCACTGGATGTGCCACCGTGTGACTTCTGGATCTTCTCTAAAGTCAAAATGACCATGAAAGGTAAACATTTTGATTGATTCAGGACATTGAGGCAGCCAGGACAGTGCAATTAAAGATCCCCATGAAAGAAGACTACCAGAACTGCTGCAGAAAGTGGCAGAGGGGTGGAATAAGTGTGTTTGAAGAGGGGCTGTATTTTTAGGAAGATTAATGGCAATGTGTCTTTTACTATATTAATACCTTTTAAATTTAAGAATTTTTAATATTTTTGACCATACCTCTATAATAGAAGTACAAGCAAAAAATTCCACAAAATGGAAAAGACAGAGTAATTCACTTTCTCTAGTTGCTTTTATTCTTCACATGTTTATGCATACTAAAAATCTGCAAGGGTATATACAAAGGTTTTAGGGAGAACATGGTCTTTGAGCTGGGCCTTGATTAATAAATTTTGATGGGTCAACACTGGGAGGAAACAAAGCTGGAGGAAGTAAGTAAGTGTGTTCAGTCAGGCCACAGAGCAGGAAGAGACAGCATGATGCTCTGATCACCCTTCGAATGCAGAGACAGCCAGTAGATGGTCCTCAGGGAGCGGAGACTGGGGATATACCATGATGATCCACCCAGAGCTCAGCCTGCATTCACTGGGGAGGGGTTTTGCATTTTTATCGTCCTGACCTGTACTTGATTCTACAAGTGATGTTTAATTAACGTTGAATGAGAGAGCCTGTCTACCTCAGGCTCCCCTGTTAGTGTCAGCTTTAAGCAGTAACTCTGAAGATGGGAAGAGCAGAAATCCGCTGGATCCGTCCACCTCAGTGCTCCTTCTAAAAGGCCAGAGAGGAGAGAACAAATTGCAGCTGGCAAAGCACAGGGAGAAAAGGGGTTCACTGACTGGAGCCCCTGAAGCAATATGCTAAGTTTCACATCTGGAAAAGAAACCAGGCAATGAATGTTCTCAAAAAAGCCTAAGTTTTAGGTTTGACATTTACAAAAATAGTTCTACTGAAGACCCAGAATATGACACTCTTCAATAGGAAAATCAAGGGCTGGCAGCAGAATGGTTTCTCCTTTGTTTTTTCTAATGTTTTATTTCCAAGGAAGTGCTTTTATGAACAAGTTAAAGAGTGATAATTTAGCACCTTATCAATCATATACAAATATAGTATATGACACAAATATACAATATGTGTATATACTTTGTAAATAATAACAAGATATGCTATACTTTTTTTCTATTTAAAAAAAATCCTACAAATATTTATATGCACAGCTGGCCTTTTCTGTCCACAGGTTCCATATTCCCAGGGTCCACCAACCCCAGATTGAAGGTATGTTTAACAGATTGCATCTAGAGGGAACATGTACAGAGTTTGTTTTTGTTATTTTCCCCTACCCAATATAGTGTAATAATTATCTACCAGGCATTTCTCTTCTATTCAGTGTTACGAGTCACCAGGAGTGGTTTACATGTGTGGGCGTGAGCCCTGGCTCCACGTAACTAGGGAGCCTGTGATAGAAGGGACCTGAGCGCCCTCAGGGTTGGATATCTGTCGGGGTTCTGGACCCCACCCCATGGATCCCGAAGAATGGATCTATATGCAAAATAAAATTGGCAAGGGTACTTAACGGCATTCATTAGGGCTTTCTTCCCAGTTACTTGTCTGACTTCCTAATTTCTAAAGAAAATGTCTGAAGAAACAGAAAGGTTCGCTGCCCACCCCTCCTCAGTGTAATCATAGGCTCTTGGGGCCCAGGGTCTGGGTCAGAATTCTAGCTTTGCTTGTCAGGCCGGCTGTGGTCTGGGACATTCTGCACCTGCACTTCGCCCCGGTGAAGGGAGGATAGTCACAACGAGCCGAGCCGAGCCGAGCCGAGCCGCCGTGGTGAAGACTGTGACTCAGTTCTTACAGAAGACTCCGCAGAGCCGCCCCCACCTCTCAGTCGGAGGACGATGGGCCCCTCCTGGGTGACTGTCAGTGTTGGCTGTTAAATGATTGCCTCTGCACGTCTCTGAGGTTGTGCTGACAGGACTCCAGCTGCCTCCAGTTTTTATATCACCAAAACCAGGTTGTCATCCCACAGGGGACCCGCAGAATGTCGGGCACTGCGCAGGTTACAGATACTCAGCTAATAAAGTCATCCTTTGGGATCCATGGGGACTGGCTGCCAGGCTCCTATGGACACAGGGTCACAGGGGCTCGAGTCCCTGGTATGAAACGGCACAGTGTTCACTGTGACTGTCTGCATCATTCCATGTACTTTAAATCATCTCCCCATGACTTCTCATACCTAGAACAGCGTAAATCCTATGTAACTTGTTGTTGTATCGCATTGTTTAGGGAATAATGCCAAAGGGAAAATGTACAAATTTCATACAGATGAAATTATTGCAGGTCTAACCACATAGCACATGCTCGAGGTTGGTTGAGCTCAGGGCGGGTCTCTTGCACATAAAACCTAAAAGCAGTGAGCTTTAAACTCCTATCTCAATGAAGCTATTACCCAGCAAGCTATCTCTGACTACATAAAGAATAAAAGAATAAAGTAAAAATGAAAAGCTATTATAATGCTCTGTGTTCATAGTCTAAACGGTGCAAAGTTACCAAGTATTCAATTAACATATATTTTCTTTAAAATGAAATAAATGGTAGACCTTTTGGGGATGGTAATGGGATGTAGAAGTGGTGCGGAGGGAGAGGAGAAGTAAACAAGATTAAAATTCAATATGTATATGTACTAATTTCCCATGATTAATGTATTCATTGTATATCACAAACTTATACTAAGGTAATAAATAAAGAAGAAAGTAGCAAGAAAAATGGGATAAATGTTTTTGATGTAAGGGGGAGTCTTCCCACATTGTGGGTTGTCTCTTCACACTGCTGGTGGTTTCTCTTGCTGTGCAGAAGCTTTTTAATAAGAAGAGATCCCACTTGTTGATTGTTTG